GTAAGTGTCATTCACAATTGTATTACATTAAAATTGAAAAAAAGTATGTTTGGTTATGTAAATCAAAATTTCTCTTTTTGTCGGCGTTTTCTTCAAAATTATAAAAGCCCTTCGATGAAACTTGATGAAGACTGAGGTATTTTGTTTGCAAAAAGTTGCCGAGCAGTTCTTTTACTTTCTTTAAGTGTACCAAAAATCCTGAACCGATTTTACAACACAATCATAGTTCCAAAATATTAGTTTGGAATTGTCCTGATAAGATCGGCCAGATCATTGTCTCGAAATTATTTGACGTGGATAATTTTTACGATATTATAAAACTTATTTCTATCATCATTTTATTTCTATTGATATCATGATGGTATTCATAGCGGTTAACGAACAATATTATGACCGATAGGGCTGGGTCGAAATTTCAAAATTCTATCGTGCAAATTTGAAAAGTTGCAACATCCAAATTTTTATTCATTATGCCAATTATTTACACATGTCGAGAAATTTTTAATTTTCCGTAGGATAAGTTATAGTAATCGCAAAAAAATAGAAAATGAAATTTCTTGCACATCTTTACGTTTCAGAGGTTTCTGAACATTTTGACATACCTTAGAAAAAATGTGTGTGTGTGCGGGTACAAACTCGACGACGACTTGAACATGGATCAACCGATTTCAATAATTCAAAAAGCATTCAATTTGTATTATTGGGGAGACGTGCTGATTAATTTTCGGCAAAGGCAAGTGAAAGTTCCAAAAATGGTAATTCAATTTTTGAGAGAACGGAGCGTCCGATTTTAATGATTCAAAATTTGCATTGATAAAACGAAGAACTGATTAAATTTTTGGAAAGGCAGGTTCATCGGTTTCGGAGATCTAATAAAAAAATGATAAAAAATGCCATTTGGCGGTCAAAAATGATCATTAGACATATGCACATCAAATTATCAGATAATAGTATAAATTGCATTTATAGTAAATAGTGTAAATTTACATTTCTATGAGTTTTGTACTAATGTTTATTCGATAGACTGCGACGCGGCGCTTACGCGCTTTGATATTTTTTCACTAAAACACCTACGCAGCATGATTGCTTTGAAACAAGAGTTTAACATTCTTGAAATATAAAAAAATCTAATTTTGCTAATAAGCCATTTGTTTGAATTTAAAAATTATTAAAAATCTCATTTTTTCAGTTGTCAAAAAATTTTAAGGTTTTTTTTAGAAATTTTAATTTTCTGTACGGAAAGTTCCAGCAATTTGCCTTAAGGCACGATGTCACAAGTTGCAATTGTTTTGGCGAAATGATACTTATAACTAGTTTATTTGATTGCGGAAATATGTTATATTAGTCGCATAGGTATTTTTCAATATTTTAGATTTTTGCACTTCGATGACTACTATGAGTTTATTGTAAATAGTTTATGCAAAATCGGCGAAGTTAGTACGGAACTTACGATATAGACGTTTAAATTGTTCTTAACTGTACTATTGTATGCATTTAATATTGCTATCTATAACGTTATCTGTCTGTGGATATGTTTCATGTTTACGGACTGATAAAATTATAGGTGGAACACGATTTAGTAGTTTATGGATTTCAAAAGATATACCCAGTTCTGATTCAGGTGATCATTGACAAATGTGTCGCAAAAATGTATAAACTACTATTTATATTTATTTTATATTGGAATAGTAATGGTGCAATCGGTGAGTTAAAGACTTATTTAAAATGTTGGAATTTCTTTTTTGTACTGTTAATATAACATGTTTTGTAAATTAATGAAATGATTATAAAGGATAAAGGTAAAGAGAATAATGTACCGTAATATGCTTGCAATGAAACAATATTTAATACTAATATCAAATGCATAAAATTACTAGTACCTAGTATTGCTGATACTATGTTGCTTTAGATGTTCAATTCAATTTTGTTTATATACAAGTATATCTATATATACTATATATAAGTATATAGTATACAATACATAGCTTATAGCTAACTTGGACACATATAATATATATATATATATATATATATATATATAAATATATTGCGTTTATGTATATAGGTGTGTTTGTATATACATGAAAGTTTCCCGGTTCGATACCCACTTAGGACAGTTGAAGTCGAGCAGTAGCGTTATCAGAATTTCCTGAAAATATTGATATAATTTGTTTCCAAGTATTTTGCATCAAATAATAAATCATCAATATTAGAAAAAATCTGATAAAATATATCAAATAGAGATACGTATGTCAACCGTTGGGTTGCTTTTTTAAAAAGCCACGTTGTTAAGAAGTGTCATCACATTAGCACAAAAAACTGTTAAATTTTTATTTGTGTTCAGAAATTTAAAATATATATGCAAAAAATGATTATGGTCAAAACGGCTTTCAACTGAATCTCGACTCAAGGAAGAAACTGATAAAAGACGAAATTTGCATGACCGTATAAGGATTCAAACCAAAAATATATAGCTGGACAATACGAAATAGAGACATTGATTGACTTCACAATCCATTATCACCGCGATTTATCAATATTTACATGAATGAAATAAATAAACCTACAGATGTGGTGCTGGAAATGGATGATTCCGCATGGTATCAAATAATCAACTGCTACAGAAAGTGCAAGAAAAAAGAAATTCACTGGACAGGGACAAAAGAAATTTACTGGACACTTATATTGGGAAAAAGTGACTTCTGCACGTCAGCAGAGGTAAAATAGTAAGGTAGTGAGAAAAGAATTGCTATGAGGATGATTGCAGTTGATCAAGTTGTTGAAGAGAAAGTTCACAGAATTGAATTTCAAAACGCAGGAGTTTGAGATGTGTTTTATAGTGCATTAATAATAATAAAAATAATGATAATAATAATTATTGTATATGAGGTAGGGCGGTGCACAAAGGTCTAATTTGAGCAATTGTATTGTGAAAACCAAACTAATTATATCACAGTAAACAAGACATATGAAACAAAATTTAAAAAATATGTTATTTCTGCTGTTTTTGACTAATTGTTCAAACAACGCAAAATATAAATTCCACGGCCACATTTTTTTCAGAGATAATACTATATATAACCTTGATGTGGTATTTCATAAAAATGATTTTTTAACTTAATTTACTTTTTTGTTTACTATTTTTTATTATTTACACCTTTGCCAGGATTAAGGTTCAATTGCGCTTTCCTTCCCTACCCACGTATAAGTTTTCATAAAGGCTGTGTAAAAAACTGTTGAATCTAACTTAAATTTAAAAATAAAACAAGAATAACGTATATTTAAAAATTATATTAAGATGTGGGGTGGTCCCACATATAAAAATCAAGACACTATAAATGAAAAATAAAGTTTATTACAAAATTATAATAATTACAAAATCTTCTTGATTGAATTCTGGTATTCTTGGTATTCCTCGCTTGGACTCCGTAGTTTTTCTAGGTATTGCCTGCTCGACCAGTAGAAGAGAAAAGAGATCGAGGATGGTAACTGCTTTGGTTATATACCTGGTAGCCTGCCCCCTCCACACATTAGGGTCCCTAATAGTGTGGAGGCTAGTGTAGCTCTTTACTACTATTTTTCAATAGTAGGAGAGCTAGTGTCGCTGCAATACCCCCCTGGCGAGTCAATAAAATTGTATTAATTTTATTGGATGCGAGGACGGACTACCCGTCCAAACCGTGTTCTATATTGATTGGAGGTATGTTCTGTAGCGCTGGATGGAGTTGAACTCGTACTTTGGTCGTCCTCTGTGGTGAAAGCGGGCTTGACACGATCGATGGAAACTCTTACATTGCGTTCTCCAATTTTAATTTTCAATGTTTTGGAGTTTCGATCTATGACTTCATACGGACCTCTGTATGGACAAGAAAGCGCTGGTCGCAGAGCGTCTTCCCTAAGGAATACAAATTTTGCATTACTTAGTTCTTTATGTACAAAAGTCTTTTTCGATCCATGTGCAGATGTAGGAGTTGGATGTATTGTTTCGAAATGTCGATGTAGATCTCAAGAAGTCGCTTGTTGGTATCTCCTTGCGCGTGCTGATTAAAAATTCGCCAGGTAGACGAAGCGGTTCTCCGTATACTAATTCGGCGCTGCTGCTTTTAATGTCTTCTTTAACAGAAGCTCGAATTCCTAATAAAATAATTGGTAGAGAATCGATCCATGACGGGTCTGCATGGCACATGAGGGCTGTTTTCAGTGGCCTGTGAGCATTTTCAATCAATCCATTCGATTGCGGGTGATATGCTGTAGTAGGAGTATGGGAAATTCCTAGTAGTTTGGTTGCGCCTTGAAAAACAGCTGAACAGAATTGCCGTCCTTGGTCGCTAGTTACTTGAGATGGAACACCAAAGCGTGAAATCCAAGAATACAAGAAAGCCCAGGTTACACTTTCTGCGGTAATATCTGATAGAGGAAAAACTTCAAGCCAACGTGTGTAACGGTCTATAGCGGTGAATAGGTATTTGAAGCCTTTTGATTGTGGAAGTGGTCCGACAATGTCAATGTGAACATGCAGAAATCTGGCGGGTGGCACTTTGAACTCTCCAAGTGGTGTGACTATATGCCGACCAATTTTGGAGCGTTGACATGAGATGCAGTTTCGAGACCAGGTTCTACAATCCTTGCGAATGCCAGGCCAAACAAATCTATCCGTGATGAGTTTAGTTGTGGTTTTTATACCTGGATGAGATAGATTGTGCAGAGTATTAAAAATATGTCGTCTATGTTCAGCAGGAACATAAGGACGTAATCGATTTTGAGATATGTCGCAATATAATTGTTCTTTGGTTCCTGGAATAGCGATACGTTTCAGGTTGAGAGCAGTATCTGATTTTAAGAGCGTTATCAGTTTTTCAATAGTAGGAGAGCTAGTGTCGCTGCAAAGATCTCGTACTAAACAACAGGGCTCACAAACCAAAAAAACTAACAACGAAAGAAAATACTTTTGTTATGGATTTTCAAACATTGCCGATAACACCATCGTTAAAATTAACATGATGGCTGGTTACACATTAAAAAATTCCTAACTTTACTTATTCTTGAGATATTGGTGGTGGACCTTCTTATCCGCGGACCTTCAAGCCCCATTACCCTTTTGGAATTTTGTATTTAGTAGAATATTTTTGAAATTTCGAAAGAAATTAATATTATGTTATGAAACAAATATAAAGCAATGAATAATCAAAAATCAATGCATTTAAAATATTATTTAAAGAATTGTGTTAATAAATACGCAAATTGTACGCGTAATTTTTTTCAACATTTTTATATGCATGCATAATTCTTATTTAAAATATTTTTTGTCAAATGCAAGTTATTTTATTTCAGGTTCGTGCATTTACTATTCAAAATGTTCGGAATGTGTAGAATCTGGACCAGAATGCGCATGGTGTGCAGATGAGGTAAATTCGTCAAAAGTGAATTGGTTTTCACTTAATTGTTTTGCTAAATGCGAAATTGCCAATTAAATGTTATGCTAATGCGATGATACCTAGTGTAGAATAAAATCTACTAAGAAGTACTATTATGATTTACAAGTACCAATTTACACGCATATTAATAACCAACTATTAAAGAAATTTACAATTTACGAGAAAACCGTGCCATTTTTGTAAAACCTATTGTGAAAAATAATATAAATTGGAACATGCCATGAAATTATTTGAATTACGTTAAATGTTAATGCAAAATATTTACGAATAACGTTGAATAAGTTATCTATGGAAAACTGCAAAAGATAAAATTGAAAGTTTGTTTATTTTCCAAAAGTAGATTTAATTTCTACATGTTTCATTTAACTTAAAAAAAAACTAGTATAGCTATGATATTATTATTTTGACTATTATTACATAATGGTTTTCTATTCAACAGCCATTTATAAATGAAGTAGGAATTGTATATGCAAGATGCAATACTTTGGAAGGTTTGAAACAAGCAAATTGCTCCAACATCAATCAGTATGAACCAAAACAAAGTATTAATTAAATATACTTTTCTGGAACACCATATTGTAAATATATTTAATTTTCTAGATTAGCATCGAGTACAGTAACTATTCTAAAGAATGATGATTTCAAAGATGTTGTGGAACATGATAATATTTTTGAAGCAGTGCAGATTAAACCACAAAGATTAGAACTGAAATTACGACCAAGTAAGCCCATTTTTCACAAAGTACTAGTAATACACACATTATATGAAAACATAAAAATTGGCAAAGAATGCTCATTATATATATATATATATATATATATATATATATATATATATATATTAGGGTGGTCCTTAAAATGGTCATTTTTGAATGTCCTTGCTCCCAGGGGCTCAAATGGTTTCAAATTGATAAAAAAACAAATCTCTGAAAGTTTTAGCTCTTAATATTAACGTTTAGATAGAGCGCAATTTAATCAAACTTCGTATGGAAAGAGCATGGAAAAAATTTTGAAAATTTAAAAAAAAATGTTTTATATGTATATATATATATATATATATATATATATATATATATATATTAGGGCGGATAGATTTAAAGGTCACGTAGGCACATATAATTTTCGGATTCTAGGGATCAAAATAAGATACAACCATACCTCTAAAACGAATTCTGAAGTCCCGTGCATTGACCCAAAAATGAGGGTTAAATTTTGAAAAACCTCTCAGGGGGGTCCCAAGGGTTAAACCAGGGGTCTCGTGAAAAAATTTTTGAATTTTTTTTGTGTTTTACAGATAATTTTCTAATAGATCAAATAATCATTTAATATACCTTGATAAATCGAGAAAGTCTAGCATCATTTTTCTGCCTTAAGGCACAATACTCTACACAACTAGCTTAAATTCATATTTAAAAAATGGTTTCAGATGAAAAGACAAGTTTTAAAATGATATATAGACCAGCAAAAAATTATCCACTAGATTTATATTATCTTATGGATTTATCATATTCTATGAGAGATGACAAGGAAATATTAGCTAATTTGAAAGATAGTCTTCCAAAAACACTGAAACAACTAACTGAACATCCAAGGTATGCAATATTTTTTGATTTTTGGTTAAATCAAAGTTGATCATTTATATATTTATATGTATTGTGTGTGCTACCATATACAGATATTTCGTTACGAAACTTTTACATGATCAGGTTTATTTATTAACTTCCCGTAGGGCAAGTTATAGTAATCGCAAAAAAATCGAAAATGAAAATTTTTATATATCTTTACGTTTCAGAGGTTTCTGAACATTTTGGCATACCTTAAAAAAAATGGATGTATGTGTGTGTGTGTGTGTGTATGTGTGTGTGTGTGTGTGTGTGTGTATGTATGTATGTATGTGTGTGTATGTATGTGCGGATACAAATTTTCGTCGACGATTTCGGGAACACGGATCAACCGATTTGAATAATTCAAAAAACATTCGATCCGTATTGATAAGGAGACGTGCTGATTAGTTTTTGGCAAAGGCCGGTCAAGCCGTTCCGAAGATACGGGGCAAAAAGTTCCGAAAACGGTAACTCAGTTTTTAAGAGAACGGAGCGTTCGATTTTAATAATTCAAAAAACATTTTATTTGTATTGACAAGATGAAGAATCGATACAACTTTCATGAAGGTAGGTCCAGCGGTTTCGGAGATATAGAGGAAAAAGTAAAAAAATGAGCCATTTGGCGGTCAAAAATGATCATTAGACATATGCACATCAAATTATCAGACATTTTATAGAGATTTTAACAATAAGTATACATTTTGTTAACATTCCTATCGGTTCCGTACCAATGCTTATGCGTTAGACAGCGACGCGGCGCTTACGCGCTTTATATTTTGTCCCTATGTAGTTAAAGCAGTACGATTGCTTTGAAAAAAAAGTTCAGATCATCCACAATATGTCAAAATAAAGAAAAAAAAATTTTTTTTCAAAAAAAAAAAATTTTAAAAAAAAAAAAATTTAAAAAAAAAATTTTTTTTTTTTAAAAAAACTAATTTTTTGTCCAATTTATAGTTTCTCAAAAATCTTATTTTTTCAAAGTAATTTTTTTTCAAAAATGTTAATCGTTTTAAAAAAAAATAATAATTTTTGGTACGGGAAGTTCCAGCAATTTGCCTTAAGGCACGATGCCCTAATTGCCTTAAGACAGAATTCCACTTACAGCTAGTTTACTCTTTAATGCACAGGATTGCTTTTGGCAGTTTTGCCGACAAGACAGTGTTGCCGTATACTTCAATTGCAAAAGTACCACTGCAAAATCCTTGCATAAAAATTGGCAAAGAATGCTCACCTTCATATGAATTCAAGCACCATTTGAAATTAACGACAAATTTTACAGAATTTTCAGACAAGGTAATTAATCATTTTTACTCTTTTTTATATATTTATAATGGCCATATATGGGTCATTCTTTTACAAACCGAACACCAATTAACCTTGACACTTTAGAATTAAAAGTTTTAAATTATATATTCATATTTTTTTCTGGTTTTAATTTTCAAAATGTTTTTTTTTTTAATTTGGTTTTATGTAAATTATATAGTATAACACCTTCTTGGAAACCTCTTTCCACCTCGTGGAAAATCTTCAATTATGTCATAAAATTTGTTATTATTTACCATCCAAATTTAAGTATGAAATTAAATAATCATTTTATTATTATAAAAAGGTGATGTTAATCTTTTGCTACGGTCTGACACTGCTTTACAGGCCTGCAAGCCGTCCAAATATTTGTAACATACCATATTATACAATTTTTTGATCAATATTTGTTTTAATGATATACGTATTATTAAAAATGTATTTAAAAATTAAAAATTAAACTACTAACAATTACAGTAACAAATTAGAATTTACAATCTTAACTTATAATTAGACTAATAAATTTAGAGGTCAGAGCAATGTTCGACACAATGAATGTCGTCTAAAGGCAAAACTGGTAGCGAATAGGGTTAAGTACATAATTTTCCCTGTTTATATCTAATTATTTACGACTTAGGTGAAAGATGCTGAAGTGACAGGAAATCTTGATGACCTCGAAGGCGGTCTATCGGCACTAACTCAAGCGATTGTCTGTAAGGGCAATGTCGGCTGGCGAGAAAACTCGACGAAAATCGTCATTTATGCTTCCAATGGATTAATGCACATTGCAGGCGAAGGACTGCTGGGTAAAATTGTAATCATTTTCTAAATGTCTAAAATGAGGAAATTTGTGAAATTGTATTATATTTTCAATGATAGGGTGTTTGCGCTTTGCGACACCGTGGTAAAACCTTGATTTTGCAATTTGCAAGTAGTATAAGGTTTTGAGTTCAAATTCCGCGTTGCTTGCAATGTTATGTTAAGCAGTATTGATATCAATATTCACTTGAAAATATAGATAATAAAAATGATTTCATGTGAAAGTGGATCTTGCGGGAATGTAAAAAACTTCAGTCAAAAAAACTGAGTTGATTTAAAAATTATAATCACAGAGATCAAGGACGTCAATTAGATTCCTTTCTAAGAGCCCTCTGTCAGAATCTAACCAAAAAATTACGAAATCAATAAAAGTTTTCAAGAAATAGAAAAATTGTAATTTATATCTTTATAGATATAAATAGTATAGTAAACGGATTGTTTAGAAATATTTTATAATATTTCTAAGAAATCCGTTCATGCTACCTAAAATTGCTTTTAACTTTCCGAAAGAGAAGTTTATGTTTTCATAAAAAAATCAGAATGAATCGAATGAGACCAAATTTGGAAAAAAGTATGTATGTGTGTACGTGTGTGCGTGTATGTAAACAGATTTTTTGCCGTTAATCGACGTTTTCTGAAAAACGGCTAGACCGATTTCAAAAGTTTAAAATCCCTTTGATGTTTCTCGATGAGGACTATCGTTTGTCAGTTTTGCGCGACGATCGGCCAAGCCGTTTTTTGTAAATCGCGGAAAATTGAAAAATCCGAAAAATTTTTCGTCCACATGTCAGTCCACAATTCTGAATCGATTTTGAAAATTCAAAAACTGTTCGAAAGATATTGGTTGGGAATCGTACTGATTAGTTTTTGGTAAAGATCGGCCGGGCAGTTTTCTTGTAATAAAGTTTAAAAAAAAAAAATGACGATTTTTATGATTTTTTTTGGCGGTAGATATCATAGTCTTCTAGATACTAAAATATTATCGCCCTACGACAACTCGTTTAGCTTTAAAAATTCGTCAAAGTTTGCAAAAATTGGTATCGTTTTTTTGGCATTTGTCAAAATTAGACCTTTCATCGACGTTTTCTCAGAAACGCATGAACCGATTTCAGAAAATCGATGTATCTTAATGTGCACTATAGTTTGTCAGTTTTGTGAGACGATCTGCCGAGCCGTTTCTTTGTAATTTGAAAAATAGTGTTAAACTTTTCGTCCACATTTAAGTTCATTCTACGGAATCGATTTTAGAAAATCAAAAACTGTTCGAAAGGTATTTGTTGGGAATAATACTGATTAGTTTTAGGTGAAAATCTACCGAGCCGGTTTCTTGTAATTAACTGTTGAAAAAAAAATTTAAGCCGATTTTTATAAAACTTTCTTTGGCGATGTATATCATGGTCTTATAGAACTTACTGAAATATTAAGGCCTTACGACAAGTAGTTTAATTTTAAAAATTCATCAAAGTTTGAAAAAATGAGTAGTTTTTTTGACGTTTGTTAAAATTAAAATTAGACGATTCACTTGGTATAACGATAGAGTGTTCGTTCGTTTTCAATTAGGTGTAATAAATCCACACGGAGTACTTTTAATCAATCATAAATTAATTTATATTTTATTGATTAAGTCGATTATTTACACATATCGGGAAGTTCATGTAACTTGCCTCAAAGCAAAATACGAATACCAACTAGTTTTATATATTTTTCTTATATATATTTTAATACAAAGTTCAGTTTTTCTGTACCATCTCCAGAATCAATTTCAAAGATTATATAATTATTATAAAACTAAATTTGCCAGAAGCAATAAAAGCATTTAAATTAATAAAACCATGTGTCTCATATAACTATTTCTATTCTCAGGTGGAGCAGTACGTAAAAACGATTGCGCATCTTGTTATTTGGATAAAGGGACATATCACAAAGTGGACACAGATTATCCATCCTTGGCATGCGTTCACCGGGCTCTAATTAAAGACAAGGTTTTTGTCATTTTTGCTGTAACCGCACACATATATGATACTTATTTGATGCCTCATAAACTGATGCCTCAACATACGTCTGTGGCACTTCTAAAAAATGATAGTTCAAACATTTTGGATCTGGTCGAGGATGGTAAATATTCTTTTGCATGGATAGTGATAGTTATAGGTAGATTCACAAACAATATACGCCATGACAATAATTAATTTTTCTAGTTTGTTAAACTATGTATTTATATGCGAATGGGCAGCGAGGTTTTATCATTTGAACTTATGTTTTTTCTTCCAAATATTAACTTTACTTAATACAGCATAAAAATTAATAATACAATACTATATAATTCTTTTCTATAGGTACATTAATTCAAAAGCTATTAATATTTTAAAGACAAATTATAAATATGGGGTGTTGTGGAGCAAGGTTTCGAGTTGTGCAACCTGACATCAAGAAGTAGTAATATCCATTTTCATTTGAAAATATATATCAAATTTATGTTTCCATAAAGTAAAAGTAACATTTCTGGCGAAAAAAGTTAATTGAATGATACTAATCTGCAGAATGTGAAAATATAATCACAACTTCAAAAGATAACCATTAAGTTGCCTTCTACTAGTTATTTAGTAACTAAAAACTACTAGCATAGTAACTAAAAAGTGAAACAAGATCTTGAAAATTAAAAATGTTCTGCCTCTTGATAATTTATCTTCATTTATGTTATAGGTTATAAAAAGGCTATCTCTTCGGCTACATTTATTGATGATGCCAACTCTTTCTTGAGTGTCAGATATTTTACAAATTGCGGAGACGATAGTGCGCCTATGCGAGAAATAAATAGCTGTCAAGGAACAGAAGTTGGAAAAAATTACACATTTTCAGTGGAAGTTACTTTATTAAAATGTCCGAGCGAAAAAAAACAATGGGTGGGTATATACACACTCAAATTTATATATATATGTATATATATATATATATATATATATATAATATATATATATATATATATATATATATATAACAAATGTATTCTGAGTGGATATATAGACAAACAACACTCTTTTTTGCACTAATTTATTAAATAATATACTGAGTATATTGAACGACTTGTAACGGATAACACATAATGCTAATTTAGGTTTCCATATTTTAAATTTTAAATTATAACACACTGATGATGAGACCACCCTAGTCTCTAAACGTTTGTGAAAATTATTATTTAATAAATTAGTGCAAAAAAGAGTGTTGTTTGTCCATATTTCCAAATTCATATATATATATATATATATATATATATATATATATATATATTGTCTATTATATTTAGATTATTATTTTTAACTTTATTGTTCAGCTTAATAATCTTGGAAAATTGCTCACACAATTCCTCACTGAATCGAGTTGCATTTTAACTCAGCTCACGAACCTAGGGGAGTTTGGTCCATTTTATTATATATATATATATATATATATATATATATATATATATATAATAAAATATATTCATGTATACATAATTCAAAATTCACAGAAAAATATCTTAAAAATTGAAGAGCAACTGACAAACACAAAGCTTACAATAGCTCTGGAATTTATGTGTGGATGTCAGTGTGAAGATTCAGTTCAAGAAAATCAACCTTCAGCTAACTGTAATTCCCAGGGAAATTTAACATGCGGTCAATGCGAATGCAACCCTGGATGGTATAATGTTTTTTATATTACTTTTGAATATTTTTTGTAGCATTAGAATTTTAAGTAATTTGTGAATATATATAATATTGGTCGATTGATTGATTTCTTGCATATAGTATTGCAGAAAAAAAAATGGTTACAGGATTTCTACTTAAATGTTATAGATGATCTCGTTGAAGGAGTTATTTATTAGAAACTTCTTTTTCCCTTGCTATTTTTACAAATTAGAAAAATTGTCTAATTTTATTTTAATAATATAGGTGATCATTTATTTTGCACATACCTAAATGACATCGACTGAAATAACTATTTTTTACTAATATTTTCAATATCATTTTCTAAGAACGACAAACTAATTATGTTCATATCTGAACTAAACTATAAATAGAAAATCATTAGTTTGCGAAATATTAACATACAAGCTTATCGTATAAGGATTTGACCATGTAGTCTCAAAATTGTATTTTAAATTTGAAGATTTTATTTATGTACAATTATTATCGAAATTAGTTATTTATCATGATATACTTCGTTTCGTTTATTAATGTATAAACATGTGAAATCTGAAATGTCGTTTGCATTTCATTTCCACAGGGCAGGCAAATCTTGCAGCTGCGATCTGAAGGATGCTGAAAGCACGATTAAGCTAAATGACCAATGTTTACCGCCAACTAAAATACCTTCGAAAGAAGATGTAGAAGATTCAGATTGGGCAATTGTGGATTATTACAGCCTGGACAAACACACTGTATCTGCAGATGGTAAATTATTATATTAGTTATGTGATAATGGGATATGCTTAGCAGGAATGATGTATCGTCTGCTGTTTTTTTTTGCAAATTCGAATTTATTTCGAGCATTTAATTTTTCTCGTAATTCTTGTATATACATAGTAACAAACGCAGTTCAGGTTTATAAATATTCCTTGGCCATAGCCTTGGAATCAATAGTTCCAGGTTCGATATCCGCCTCGGACAATATGTTGTCGAGTTTGTAGTTTGTAGTGAATTATACAATTTTATTAATCAGAGCAATATTTTTGATTTAATGGATTGAGAAATTAATTATTAGCGTTGAAAGTTAATTATTTTTTGAATGATAAACACTATTTAATCTTCTTTTAGTTTTTTATCTCATTTGTACAGTGATCTATTTTTATCTCCGACAATCTGCAATGCTTTCTCATTTAGATGATCTTGTATGTACTCAAATTTTTTGGAGAAACATAGTTTAATGCCTATGCTGATTTTTCACTTAGTTGGAATTAAATTAAGTTAATCTAAAATTATATAATTACGCATGTTTCTGCTTTGATATTTGATTCTATGAATTAAATTAATTTTATTTTGTTTGGATTTTATATAGATGAGAAAACACTCATAGTTGGGCCAAAATTATGTTCTGGTAAAGGCGATTGTGAGTGTGGCGAATGTAAGTGCATTCCAGGATTCATTGGACGTTACTGCGAATGTGCAGAATGCCAGAGGTGGGTTAATCCGCAAATCTAATTTTAATCTATTGAATGGATGATTTTAATTTTGAAAATAATAAAGATAAAGTAAAATAAATTATGAGTGATGCAATTATGAGTATTAATAACTCAATACAAATTAATTTATGCGCTAACAAATCACAATAACAAATTAATGTATATTATGCTTGAAGAGTTTCATTTTCCTTACAAGTTATTAACTTCCCGTAGGGTAAGTTATAGTAATCGCAAAAAAATGAAAATGTTTGCATATCTCTACATTTCAAAGGTTTCTGTACATTTTACATTAGAAATACATTAGAAAAAATTAGATATACATATAAAAATTAGATATAAAAAATTGATGTATGTGTGTGTATGTATGTTTGTAGTATGTATGTATGTGCGTTTCGAGAGCACGATTTACCCGATTTGAATGATTTAAAAAGATTTGATTTTTATTGATGGGAAGATGTGTTGATTAGCTTTTGGAAAAAGCAGGTCTAGACGTTTCTAAGGTAACTTGCAAAAAATGCAAATAATGTCAATTTAGTTTTTGAGAGAACGGAGCGACCAATTTGATTGATTCAAAAAACATTTTGCTTGTATTAACGAAATGAAGACTGAATTTTTATTGTCTAATAAACGTCTAAAGTTTTTTTTAGAAAGTATTGAAAGTATAACGCGTAAGTGACATAAAATTTGATTTAATTTTACCTTATTATGCCGAAATGGATAATTTATTGCCAGAGGCACATGATTCTTAATATTTTTTAAGTAAGAGAGCTAGGGCTTGTTGTAACAGTTTTTCTTTAAAATTAATATATCATGAGATCCACTGATTTCATTTATATGAAATAAAGATGAATAGATGCTATAACTAATCCTCTATAATAATTCCATTGTTCATTATTTCACAATTAATAATTTTTTAGAGAAAGTCCGGTGTTACAACTTAATTCGTGTTTGGGGCTAGTTGTAACATCTACCGTATGGTTTAATTATGTGTGCATTAAATATTTGAATAGTCTCATTTGGGTCTACTTTATATTTTAAGGACATGAATTTATATTTAAAAAATATTACTCAATTTTTAATAAATTTATATTTCCTGAAACTTTATCATTAGAAGGCCAAATTCCGAACCATGCGGCGGTCCGACGCGCGGCACTTGCGACTGCGGCACTTGCAAGTGTTTGCCAAATTGGAGCGGCGACGACTGCGGCTGCTCGACTGATACCGATAGGTGCAGGGCACGCGACTCGGAAAATGTGTGCTCTGGAAATGGGGAATGCAAATGCGGTAAGTGATTACGATTTACCAATTTATAAAAAAAAGTTTAGCTTATGGATCGTTCACTAAATAGAACTATTGTAACAACGTTGTTGTGCGTTGGGTACGGTTATGACATATGGCTGTGGTTCTTGTCCTTTTCGAGTGAAGATTGAACATGAAAAGAAAAATCTAACTTAACAAAAGACCGGCATAAGGAGATTGAAACGACAATGGCCTTCAGACTTAGTCTTAGATTAGGTCTAATATAATATTATCATTAGATCTTATTCGAGCTCTTCTTAGGCATCGCTCTTAAATATTGTCATTTTAGCTCATAGGAATCTTTATGTATTTCTGATTGCTAAATAAAACAAGTTAAAAAAAAAACTAAAGCCCGGTGCACACGACGTCAGTAATTCTTGTGACATATTTTCGGTCAAGCTTTTATCCTAAGGTATACGTTCACCTTACGATAAAAGTAAAATTTGACTGTAGCATTTTATTGGTATTATTTTATTTAATTTTTATAAATTTAAGATAACATAATTACATGAATTTATCCTAATACATACATATATGTTTTATGTTTACGTTAAATGTTTCAATAAAATAGTTTTATTCGTACCTGCTCACCTTACCATAAAAACTTGTCAGAAAATATGTTACAGGAATTACACCGGGCCTAAGACAAAAGACAAAAGAGAAAGGAAATCGAAAATTTAATATAAGAAAAAAAGATTTATTGATAACTTTGTTTAAAAATTATGTTTTATTATTATATTCATATGCATAAAAATTATTACTGATCAAGAAAAAGTGGCACAACCGCACCCAGTCTTTCCTACTCATACTGTTAATATTTAAAGTATTCAAATCCATAAAACCATTACCGACCAATACCTGGTCAAAAATTATATTTAAACACACTTACATTTTTTTGTCAAAATCAAAATTGTTTTGAAAGTCATGATCCAGAGATTTCCCAATTTTTATCATTATGAGTTTTAAATAGACAGCTGATTATTATTTACTGCTCATAGATTTTCTATTCTATATCGAACATAAAGTTTGCTTTATGATATAATTTTAAATTAATATGATTATTTTAATTTACCATAGAATTAGACGAAACAGCAATGCTGATTATGAAATAATAAATATTTTAATTCTTGGCGTGAAACAATTATTTATCCCAAAGTTGTAAGCAAGAATGCGAGGACAGAAAAAATTCCGTTCAATTAGTATTTTTAGGTCAGATACATATATTACCATATCTAAAAGAAATTATGAAAACACAGTATATTTCGTTCACTTTTTATGGAAACATTTACAGATCATCCTATTATAATATAGTACACTTCAATAAGTTAGTAATTATATTTAAGAAAAAGACAAATATTCTCAATGTTTGTAAATTGTTTTTAAATTTTTTTTTAATAATATGGTCTGCGTGATAAACTTTTGTTTGTGTATTTATCCATTCGCCCGTCACAGTTAAAATTTTTAATGTAAGAGTTAAATAAATTAATCACGAGTAAAGTTTAATAGTATCAATATGTGATCATATTGAATCTTTTATATATAATTTTAGGTAAGTGCAAATGCCATGCAAATGCGGAAGGAAACGTGTGCCGTGGTGAATTTTGCGAGATTTGTGGTTTGACAAATTCTTTTTGCAATGTATTCACATCCTGCGCCCAATGTTACGTGGAGTCGACCAGAAAACGACGCCGAGACGACGATAACTGTGATAAGTTTTGCGGAAAAGGATTGAGCAATGAGACTGAAGCCAAAATTGTCGACACACTTGGAGGTAACATTTTTGAAAATGTCAAAATATTACGAAATTTTTGTAAAAATGCAATTTTTTTAATGTTTGATATTTTTTGAAGTTATCTATTATTTTAAATTTACGAAATTTTATGTACAAGCATTTTTCACACCGTCTACTATCAAATATCATGTAATGCAATGAAACGATTCATATTTTTTCAGATGTTGAACCAGGACAAATATGCTCATTTCAAACGGAATACAGAGGCAAAGCATGTCACCATCAGTATATCTATAAGACAGTAGACGACGATAAAATCAAATTTCAAGTATTATTAACATCCGTTTGCCGAGATACAATTAGTGCAATCGCTCTTTCTGGTTACATCATGCTGGGAACATTTCTGGCTGGGTTCCTAGTAATGCTTCTGGTTTGGTATAATATTAAGAGGAAGTGAGTATAAAATGCTTATTGACAGAATGAGTAGAAATGATCTGAGGGTAAATCTCTGAACGCATTTGAATCCAAGGCTTTGATGTTTTAAAATAATATCCGTTCAGAGTTCAGGGTCAAAAAAAATCTTTTATACTCGTATACGACACTTTAGTCCAGTCATTTGGTCGTTTTGCCGGTACAGTACTCCGGAATTCTGAAAATTGGTAATCTTATAGATTTCGAGGTGCTCTTCACGAAAATCATCTTTGCCACCTCAAATTTGAACGGCAAGTTGCCGCCATATTGGAAAAATGGCGTCAAAAACATCTTTTTTAAAATATCTCCTTTCTGGCTCATTCTACGATGAAAGTATCTACGTATGAATTAAACAAGATAAAATTTCCTACAATTCTTTAGAAAACCGTTTTTTGTAAAATTGATGGTTTGAGAATACGGCCACCTCAAAGTCTTTGCTGCTCTTGCCGTATTATCAAATCTCTCCATATATGACAGCACTTTGAACTTGACTACATTCTCTCTAATAAATAAATATTTTCAATGTTAAATTAAGCGAATAAGATCTAGAAATAAAATAAATGGTTTAACAAAATAAAAGATATTGAATAAATTATAGAAAGCTTTCTCTAGTTTAATTTTGTTTATAGCTACTTTGCTATTGAAGCTATGTTAAAAACTCAGCAAAAGACAAAAATATTTGAATTATTTTATTTCCTGATCTTATTCGAGATTCGATAATACACGCAAGAGCAGCAAAGACTTTGAGGCGCCCGTACTCTCAAACTATGAATTTTACTAAAAAACTGTTTTCTAAAGAATTGTAGGAAATTTTATCTAGTTTAATTCGTACAGCACCTCGAAATCTATAAGATTACCAATTTTCAGAATTCCCCGAGTACTGTACCGGCAACAGCCTTTTTTTGCACCAAATGACTGGACTACTTGCTCTAGGATGAAAAATCAAAAACATCATAAATATCATAAGCATTATTTTTATTTAATTTAAATATTTTTTTTTATATTTCAAGGGGGGAGGTTATGGAATATCAGGTCTTCAGAAACTGTTCAAAATAAACAATAGTATAACAAAAAAAGAACGTTAATCGTCTGTATCTGTATGTAAACGTTAATATTTTTCTGTAATAATCTAACAAGCTTTATAAATTTTTCGAACAAAATTTTCTTTCATACACAGATAAAGGCATGCTCTTTCACCCTGGCAAAAGCGTAAACAATATAAAATACTAAATAAAAATGTAAATTCGATTTGAAGAAGCTATATTAAAAGAAATAAATTAAATAAATAGTTATTCCAATACAGTGTCATCTTTGTGAAATGTGATCAAACATGTTTATTTTATTAATAAATAATAATAACTATAATTATATGAACACTTTTAGGGATGCAATAGAAGCAAAACTTTTTGCCGTCGAAGAAGAAAAGAATAAACTACTACTTTCAAACACCATGCAGAACCCCTTATACAATTCGCCAATTACCCGTGTCGATCTGGATGAATTTAAGAAGGAAAAACCTTGTGCAAAATGTAGAACATCCAGATCATCATTTAGGTAAAAATGTTTGATGTAACTTTAACTTTAATGTGGCGTAAATGTTTCTAGAAACGTAAAAAAAAATTTTAAAAAATAATAAAAAATAAAAAATAAAAAAGAAAAAAATAAAAGAAAGAAAAAACAAAACAAAAAAAAAAAAAATAAAATAAAAAATAAAAAAATAAAATAAATAAATAAAAAATAAATAAATAAAAAATAAATAAATAAAAAATAAATAAATAAAAAATAAATAAAAAATAAATAAAAAATAAAAAAAATAAGAAAAAAAATAAAAAAAAATAAAATTAAAAAAAATAAAAAAACAAATAATAAATGGAAAAAATTGTAAAAAATAAAAAAAATAAAAAAAAAGATGAAAAAATTAAATAAAAAAACGTATGTCCTATTTTGCAAAATTATGAGTTTTTTAATTAAAGATTTACTTAATCATTTTGAAAAACTTGACTGAAAATTATAACTTTGCACTAAATAGAATTTGTATAATATCAAAAAATCTCTTAGTTGATATCTTAATTTGAAATGACTGAATTAAAAATCGAAATATAAATAAATTATGCAAATGCAAAGTTGCACAATTGATCATCATTATTTATAAAATAAATAGTTAAAGAATTCAAATGTCAGCAAATTACATTTACTGATATTCAAAAAAATATAAAATAGTACATCTAATATAAGGAATATATAAAATTCATATGGTGAATCTGTTTTTGTTGTGATAATGCCATGTGAATTTAAAAAAGTAAATTAAATTAAATTAAATAATATTTTATAAAATAATATTGTTCTGTAACATGCTTTTCTCATTCCAGATCATCTAGAAGTAGCTTTGAAATAAGTGCACCATCTACTCCTATGATTCCGAAACCCGATCACGAAGAATATTAATTTATGCATTAGTTTTGTATATAGTAATAATTTATATTATATTAATTGATTTTGTACTTTTTTGAAAAGAACCAGAGGTATTAATACAACAATACGTTTTGTTTCTCAAAATATATTATTCACATTTATAAATTTATTCCCAAAAAGCTAAATAACAATAGTATTGTTATAATGAACTTTATTCAAGAAGTAACAGGCTTTGATACATTTTTTTCCTAGTAATATGTACCCAATAACTCCACCTGTCTTGTTCGGTATTTAACACGAATGAAAGAATTTCTTTAGCTTAATTAAACAATTAGTCAATTATTGTCAAAAGTAAATATTGGTGTTGTGTGAAAATAAAATAAAATATATTGATGGGAAGTTATATAGGGTAGAGCGGGGTTCAAAGGTCTGCGGGTAAAGGTCCACTGCCTATATCTCAAAAACAAGTGAAGTTAACAATTTTTTAACAACATTATTTGAAAGCAGGAGGAAAAAAATGTATAACTATCATCTTGATACCTACGTCGCTATCCATTGTACAAAATGTACTAATTAAATATATATTTTATGGGTATATTTCTAGGTGAAATAATATAGCTTGTTTAATATGTGTTATTTGTTGTGATATAATTGCTCAAAGTCAAGTTGGACCCTTGTGCTCCGCCTTATCCTGTATATATAATATATAAGGGACGAGAAAAAATGACCAAGGAGAAGGAGGTTTTATCAAGATATCACGTGCATTTATTTTTATCCGTATTAAAAAAATCCATTTTTTTCAAAACCAATATAATTTTTTTCTAGAAAATTAACGATTTTTTGTAGATGCTAATGTTTAGTGGGGTGGAGTATAGTACCACGTATTATGAAGAGAGAGGGGAGTTTAAAAAAGCTTAAAAATAAAAAAAGATCACGCGATTAATGTAATGCCCTTAATCTGTTGAGTTTATTCCAATTGTGCAAATACAAAGACCTAAGCAGTGTGTCCTGAGAAAGGAAATATTATTACGGAATGAGCAAAAGTCGAAAATTCTTCTGGTGTTGGTGAACGTCAAGCTTAGGGGACGTTCATTAATCACGAATGCCTTTAAGGTGGGGGGGGGGAAGTATTGGACAAAAAATCACAAAATATCATGTGGGGGAGAGGAGGATATACAAAGATAACACGTGTTTTATTAACTTCCCGAAGGGCAAGTTATAGTAATCGCAAAAAAATCGAAAATGAAAATTTTTATTTCAAAGGTTTCAAAGGTTTCTGAGTATTTTGGCATACCTTACAATTAGAAAAAATCGGAGATCTAATGAAAAAAGTAAAAAAAAGGGCGGTCAAAAATGATCATTAGACATATGCACATCAAATTATCAGATATTTTATGGAGATTTTAACAATAAGTATAAATTTTGTTTGCATTCCTATGGGTTCCGTACCAATGTTTATCCGTTAGACGGCGACGCGGCGCTTACGCCCTTTGACATTTCGTCTCTATGCAGTTAAAGCAGTACGATTCATTTGAAAAAAAAATTCAGAATTTCCAAAATATGCCAAAATAAAAAAATATTATAGTTTTTCAAAAATTTAATGTTTTTGAAGTAATTTTTTTTCAAAAATGTGCATCGTTTTTAAAAAAATATAATATATAATTTTTGGTACGGACAGTTCCAGCAATTTGCCTTAAGGCACGATGGCATGCGCCCCACTAGTTTTCACCACACTCCAAAATTATTTAAAAAAAAATGCTACGATTTTTTCGAGATACTAAAAATACATATGATGTTTGGTGGTCCAAAAATCCGCAGAAATCGCTCACGTGATTATTGGACGTCCCCTTAGCATCACATTCAGGAGAGTTTATCAAAAGCTAGTGTTGGTCGAAACCAGAATATATCGTTAGCCCGACTCTTGTCCAGGTGCTCTAGCTGGTAATTGTACCGAGTCGATAAAGCAGCCGCTGCCGTGAATGAAGAGTTCCTGTCGGAAACTACGATGGCGCTGCTCTCTGGGCGCTAGAAGAGTTAGAAGTCATTCACTCTCCGCCGATGGTGCGGTGCCGGTGCAACGATTCAACTGTTTTGCTTTGCTTTTAGTAGAAGAGCCAGTGAACTATTTGATTAACCTGTTTTCACAAAGCCAGAAATTTTTTTAATGATATTTTATTATCGGCCCATTAAGAAAGTACCATTCTGGCAGTCATTCCGCGGTTGCGTCATCATCCCTTCAATTTGTGAAAATGTGAAAAAAAAAATTTTATAACTTGCTCGCACAAGGCTCAAATTTTGAGGGTGTCTTCTTTTAACTGTTCAGAAAGCATATGTAAAAAGCCAACCCATTCTGACGGTTGCAGGGGTCTGCCAGACGATTAAATCAAATTTGTGGAACACATTGAAAAATTGAGGAAACCAGAACCAGTACACCCGCGCGTAACGCTAATAGTAGCCCGCATAGAATTCGTTCGGTCGGATGTGCGATGCGTTATGCGCGGGTGTACTGGTTCTAGTTTCTTCAATTTTTCAATGTGTTTCACAAATTTGATTTAAACCATATTTGCAGTACTGAAAGAGAAAACAATAAGCTTTTAAATAACGCTAATAATACATTAATTAAACAAAATGCACTATCCGAAAACATTAATTGAAAAATTATTTTTATCCTTTTTAGCTAATAATAAAGGATTATTTAGCATATATTACTATACATTATGTGGTTTAAGCCAATATAAGTAGAATCACGTAATTTTTTTTCGATATCTTTTATGGTTACACCAAAAATTGAGTTTGAAAAAGGGGCCACTTTGGCATATTTTCAATGATATCTCGGCCATAAGATGAGATACAAAGTTGAAGTTTGGTATAACGGATGTTTTCAAAATGACATTCAAAATGGCGTATAAATTATTCAAATACAAGGGTATTAGTCAATTATGTATGACAATGCGCCCGCACCCTTGCGCGTTGTGACTATTATGTACTCGTCTGGTAGACCCTTGCAACCGTCAGAATGGGCTGGCTTTTTACATATGCTTTCTGAACAGTTAAAAGAAGACACCCTCAAAATGTGAGCCTTGTGCGAGCAAGTTATAAAAAAATTTTTTTTTACATTTTCACAAATTGAAGGGATGATGACGCAACCGCGGAATGACTGCCAGAATGGTACTTTCTTAATGGACCGATAATAAAATATCATTAAAAAAATTTCTGGCTTTGTGAAAACAGGTTAGTCAAATAGTTCACTGGCCCTTAGACTATTTGCTTTGCTAGCAGAATAGAACTCTTAACTCGGAAGACGTCTAGTTCGGTTGAGTCGGTTCGTCAGTTGTGGATTAGTGACCGCGGCGCGCGTTAGGCCGTTCGTTCTCTCGGCGATAATGCTGGAACGGTCAGAGCCGGTGAATTCGCATTCGGCATGTGTGTGTAGAAATATATAATATATAACAACATATACGATAGTGCCTGTGAGAACCACGACCGTGACTGAAACTGGAAACAAACGGTATTTAAGATCTTTGTGGTTATTATATTTTCGACCAAGTGCTAATTAATTGTTGACAATATATATGATGATGAGCTTTTCTCTGTGCTGCTTTAATGCATCTTCACAATAATATGCCCTAAATAGTTTAATTTATTTAATATTACATTTTATACACGTTTTTATACTAAATTTTAACTTGCATAATATTATATCTAATTTATCATATATTGTTACTTTTATTTATTCAATTTTGAAATATAACGGTATCAATACTAGATATACTGAGATGCTATTATCGTTAATTAATTTGTTTCTATTTATAAAGGTAGAATAAAAACAATGATATTATTACATTAGATTACAATAATAAATATTAATTAAATATCCCTAAATTATTTTAAATTTATTTAAAAACCGAAAATAGTTTTGCATACGTTCATTTTATAGTGATTTTATATAAATATAAATAAATATGAATGAAATGAATAAATATAAATGGAAAAATTAGAAATATTTTATGCACACAATTCAAATGCTATTGCAAAAAAGGGTTGATAATTTTTACTTTCTAAAAAGCTAAATTTATTAATTTATTACCCTTTTTTGCAATAGTATTTGAATTGTGTGCATGAAATATTTCTAATTTTTCCAATTGAGTTATTATATAAACTTGCAAAATTCATTTACAATTTTACTATTACTGTAAGCATATTTTGGATACACATATACGACGAACAAATTATTGAAATGCATTAAGAATTATGATGCTTATTTTATGCATGAATTATAATGTTATGGATGTCTATAATGTATAAATATAGTTAATATCTCATTATTGCTTCAAGTAATTTTCAAACATACAAACACACACACACACATGTATATATATATATATATAAATATATATATATATATATATATATCAGGGTGGTCCTTAATATAGACATTTTCGAATTTCCTTGCTCCCAAGGGCTCAAATGGTTCCAAATTGATAAAAAACAATTCTCTTAAAGTTTTAGCTCTCAATATTGTCTTTTAGATAAAGCGCAATTCAATCAAAGTTTTGTATGGAAATAGCATAAGAAAATTTTCAAAAATTTTGCAGAGCGTCGAATTTTCAATAAAAAATGACACGAATTCTCACTTTTAGTTCATTTGTCGCTAAGTTATACCTAAAAAATGTTTTTTTTTTTAATTTTCAAAATTTTTTCCATGCTATTTCCATACGAAGTTTGATCGAATTGCGGGGTATCTAAAAGCTAATATTAGGAGCTGAAACTTTCATAGAATTGTTTTTTATCAATTTGGAACAATTTGAGCCCTTGGGAGCAAGGAAATTCGAAAATGTCTATATTAAGGACCACCCTAATATATATATATATATATATATATATATAAATATATATATATATATAACCCCGCTCTAGACGATCTGACATCGTGCAGCAGCGATGTCCTTCACTGCAAAATATAGATCAAAACATATATTTTCAATCGAAAATAGCCCGTTTCGGGATGTGCAGAATGAAATGGCAATGCAAAATCCCTCACACTATTCTTCCCTGAATCGCGTTGGAGTTTAACTCGGCTCAAGGGTCTGCCCTAGAGTA